TCAGCAGGATTTTAACGTGAAGCTTCCAGGTTTTACTGGAAGCAGTAAAAACGCTGCACAAGAGATTTCTTATTTTCCTTAGTTGCACAGATGATTAAAAGTTTTGAAAAAGTTCCCGTCTGTTCATCACCACACAGCCCGCCCCCCTTCAAAAAAAAAGTAAAAAAAGAGGAAAGAAAGAAAAGGAAAATAAGAAAAAAAGGAAAAGAGAATAGAAAAGGAAAATAAGCCGCAGCTTTTAAATACCACCCAGGAGAAGCCAAGCTATGTATAAATCCAGCTCAAAGATCCAAAAGTAGCAATATTTTTTTTGTAGTTTAATCCACGCGTTTTTCCCTATGCCCTACCTTCTTCTTTATGATTTAGTCCATGAAATATTTTCCCCTTTACAGCTCTTCATATACAAAGCCTTTTCAGCCTTGGTTTATATCCCATCAAGCCGAGCATTACAGAATTCCCCTGCAGCCCCCAAACCAAAAATGACTACCAGAAAAGGGAAAGCTGTTCTCTTTTTGTCCCTGCTTTGTTTACAGAGCTGTCAGTGGTTAGTTAAACTCTGCCTGGAATCTGGCATTTAAGGCCTGCTCTAAGATTGCTTCCTGTGCAGGGCTGGAGGCCTCAGCTTCCTCTGCAATCCCAGCCTAGGCACTGCACTCGGAGGATTTCCACCCCACCACGTGTCCCGTCCCCCCCTCCGCTCAAAGAAAGAAAAAAAAAGTTTTCCAGCCCGTTAGTACAAGACCGGCCATTTACGCCACAGAGAAAGTCGGCGTGCAGATGCAGCCTCCCGTTCAGAGGTGGCTTATGAACTGCCTGCAATTTAAAAGGAAACAAAGCCAAGGTGCATTTGTAAATTATTTGTAGTGCTCTGTCTGCAGATGTACATCTGCCCTGTGGCTTTATACTTCTGCCTGCCAGTGCACCATCCAGGCCCCCTCCCCATAAAATCACTGGCAATAGCAAAACCTCCATGAGAGGGAGTCCATGGCTTTTTCTGCCCCCCTTTTTAGATTAAAATACTGCTGAAGGCAAGGGTTTTATGAAGGTTATTTTATTAGTTTACTTTTCCTGGGGGTGTTTTTCTTTCTGATTTGTTCCTGGATTGAAGGACTTAAAATTTTGTTGTTGGTTGTGCCTTTCTGCATGTTTGTCTGGCTGGGGCTGTTCTGTGGAGGTTCAAAGGGAAGGTTAATTTTGCAAATCTGATAGCGGCTTCACAATTACTGCCACCTTTTTTTTAAAAGGCACAATGATCATAAATAAATATAAAAAGCAAGTTGTTACATTTTTTTCAAATCTTGTGTTTGTTTACTCTTGCCACTTTGTGTACCCCTTGAAGAACACAGAACAGCAAATCTGACATTTTCTCCCAAGAAGTGTTTTCATAGCAGCCTACGTGTGCAGCCAAATCCTGCCTCAGTTCCTTTGCTGGAGGGCCCGTGAGCTGCAGGACTGGTGTGGTTCTCCCCAGCTGGGAGACGAGGATCGAAGGAGGAATGGTAGGCTGCAGAGAGCAGGTTCGAAGCAGTGTGCGGGGTTACTGTGCAAAGAGAGCAGATGGCTGTGTCCACAGGGTCTGTGACTGCACCAGGCAACAGCGTTTAGTCTGGGTACAGTCACCAGCAGGGATTTAAAACATAAAGAGCTGACTGTTGGGCTGACACCTCATGTGCTAGGACTGAGAATCCCAAACGATTTTTTCCCCACTCTACCTCCCAAAAGCAGACATGCTTTGACATCTGGTCTTCATCACTTCTTACCCAGCCAGGTACATCCCTCTCTCCACTCCTAAAAAGGTACACTCCTTCCCTCCCCCAGCTCCAGATTCTGTGCACCCAGATTTCCCCCATCCCCCTTCCCAGTGGCCTAGCCAATACCTCTACTCCTTCTCTTCCTACATGGTCCTCAGCACCGTCTCTCATCTCTAAGAGCACAAGTGCTGTTCCTCACAAGAAAAACTAAGAAAGATAATAATAACAACCTAGAACTATTTCTGTTCTTCCCCCTTCTTTCCTTCTCAGGACTATAGGGGAGATTGCATCAAGGAACTTCTCCTGAAAGCTGTACAACAACCTTTCTCATAGAATCACAGAATGCTTTGGGTTGGAAGGGCCCTAAAAGACCATCTAGTTCCACCCCCCCTGCCATGGGCAGGGACACCTTCCACTAGACCAGGTTGCTCAAAGCCTCATCCAGCCTGGGATGGAAGACATCCAGGGATGGGGCATCCACAACATCTCTGGGCAACCTGTTCCAGTGCCTCACCACCCTCTCCGGGAAGAACTTCTTCCTGATATCTAATCTAAACCTCCCTGTTTTCAGTTTGTACGTGTTACCCCTTGTCCTGACACTACAGGCTCTTGTAAAAAGTCCTCTCCCAGTCTTCTCCATCTACAGGGTGACTGGGAGGATGTCTAAGGTTTATTAGAGCACAGCATCTCCTCTCAAAGGACTGAGGTCCAGCCACTTCATGGTGTTCCAATGATTTGCAAGACAAATCCTTTTTTAAAAATGAGCAAGGCACTTGGGAAATGGAAGTCAAGTCAACAACACAACCTTCAGTTAGCAAAGCCATATCAGTGCAAGAAAATGAGTCATCAGCTAGATCCACCTGAAGTAGTCAACTATTCAGTGCTGTTCACTGTCTTCCCAAAATGATTTCTTATCTTTCAGCCTCTGAAAACTACTAGATGATAACTTCATAATCACTCTAAAAATGTTTTCTCTCTCCACAAAAAGGGAGCATAAAATCAGTGTTCTTGCCTCTCAGACAATTAAAAAATTTCTTTGCTTATAGAGGGAGGCACTAATTACTTGCAGTATTTTCTACCAATCATTTTTGGGAGCATGCACATTTTGATGCTTCTTTACTTAAAATGAAAATTCTTCATGAGTGAAAATATTCTGTGCCAAACCATAACACCCCACCCAGCTCCACTCCAGGGCCTGACTGCAGAGCCAAATCTGAAAATGTGTCTTTCTGATTGCATCCTTTTTTTTTCCCCCCATTACGCAACTTAATAATTCGGTGTCAGACCAAAAAAAATTAGTTCTTCTGGAAAAAAAAAAAAAAAGGAAAACTGTCCCTAAGAAAACGGTTTCAAATCAAAAGTAATGTATCACTCAACCTCAAAAAAAAAAAAATGTTCTTTCGTTTTATTTTAAACATTAAAATTTCAGTTTTCAAAGTATGATGGAAAATGTTTTATCTCTTTTTTTCCTCCAATTTATTTCCAGGTATGTTTTTTGAGTATTTCAACCGGAAGTCATAAATAAATTTAAAAGAAGCATAAATATATACTTTTTTCAGCAAACACATGTCTGAAACCATTTGACCAGTTCCATTCGCCTGACATCCACACATATGCAAGTTATTGGAATATGGGCTAGTTTTACACTGTGAAAGGTTACACCATAAAAATCATCATTTTGTTGCTTCCACCTTAGTCTGGTTCCTTAGTATCCTTAGTTCCTTAGTATCTTTTCAACCTTTATACAACTGAAATAACACTGGATCTGAAGTAAACTCTTGCAAGTTTTCCACCACCAGACTCCGAAGAGGGACCTATGGGAGAATATTACAAAGATCTTTGACCTTGCTTCCCCCCTACTCCCAAATCCCTCTCAGAAATTACTGAAGATAATTCTTGCTCAGGACCTCAGATTTTCCACAGCCTTACATACAAGTGTCTTCTCAGGGTCCCTATTTCTTTTGGTTCAGATTTAGATGATGGGATGTCTGATAAATCCTGTGGTCTTCCTGTAGACATGTTAAGAAAAACTAAGAGAGGGCACATAAGCAAAATAACTTACATACATTTACCAGCATTGCCACACTACCTGAATCAGAATTAAAGCAAAGTATGTGCCCTGCAAATACCATATCCCTGAAAAAAACACTTTTCATTTCAAAAACAGGACCAGCCTCTCTCTCCTTTTCATCTCTGCACTTCACATAATGCCTTTGATCTTCAGTTGACTATAGTTTACTACTAGAATTTGTTGAGTTTTTCATTGTCTTGCTAAAAAGTGCTTCCTTCAAGGACAGCCACACTTAATCCCTCCTGGTACAAAACACATGCATGCAAATCCCACTCCCCTTTATGTCTCATCCCATAACAGAGTTTAAAATTATGTCTTCTTTCATCTTTCAAGGTGAAAAATCAGAGGAATGCACAATAACTATAAATACATAACAGAATATTCTAATAGCAATTAATGGAAATACGCTGTTTGAAAGCAAACAGTAAATTGGCTAGGTAGAAATACAGACACAACTACATATCTGTATAATTCCAGTATGGAGAGCAAAATAACTACCTGCTCTGGCTCAGATTTAATACTGTCCTCACCCTACCCACCCCCAGCACTGATTTCAGAGACAACTCAGCACCCAGAGGGCCTTAAAAGCAGATGAGTTAAGCTGGTAACAAGCAAGTGAAAATGCAAACTGCTACTCAGGTCTTTAACAAACAGAAATTTCTTTCTTTCAAGACCCGCCAGTCACCTTCCCATTACACTGAAGGAGCTCCCAGACTACCATGTTTATGCTGAACCTCTGCACCAGCTTCAGCCTAGTTGAGTCAAGAAACTTCAAGCCAGAACATGTTCCCTAATATAGCACAGCTGTGTATTGCACGGGGTTCTACACCGGCCACAGC